AGTGCTACTTGTCCCACAGATTATAACACCCTGAGAGTATCACCTGTTCTTAGCTAAAGATCACTAAAACAATTCATTATCACCTGACACCACTGCTGCAACTCACAGCATGTGACAGCAAGACGCCAAGTGCCGTTATTAAAAACCAAGGCATCCACTTATTTCAGCAAATGCGTTCAAACATTTTAAAATATTCTATTGTAAGAATCTTTAGCCAACCCCCTAAAGTATGACATGCTGAGAATAAACTTAAATGGCAGCCACTTTTTTAGAGCTCATGTACACTGCAGTGATTGATGTCACAGAAGCACAGGCAACAATTCCTGTTAATAAAAACCAAGGAACCATTAGACTGCTCAAAGCTGAAGCCTGATTCATAGAAAGTCCCCATTTTCATGCACGCACGAGCCCCCTTTCTTCTCTGCAATGTCCCACTTGTTACTCTTTCACCATCACGAACTAGAACCTCTTAGGCCATCACAGACTTAAAAATAATAATAAGTATTTCTAACATGGGACAATTACATATAACACATGATTAATCGCTGGGCATTATTACTTATTACTTGCACTCAATATATCATATTTGAATCTGAATTGCTGCAGCTCATGAAATCTCATGATGAGGTCTGAAAATGCCAATTTTTCACAGATCTTGTGATGTCTTGAAAAAAGGTATCAACAAGATAAATATGACAGAGCTTCCTCATGCCTCGAGTTACAACTCTGTAAATTGGTCAATTAGTGGCTTGGTGGTTTAACTGTTGCAGCATGATTGTAAACTTTGTCAATGTAAAATTATTTTTGAAGTGTGGAAAAACATTACTGCCATTACACCAAATTAAAGGAAGAGAAGTATTAAATTAGGAAATAGTCCATAAAACAAATGTGACCTATAATAAAAAAAACAAACAAGCAGGTATCAAAGTTCACTTTTTATACTACTTCCCACTTTCCATCTTAAAGCCCTGAAACCAGTCATGTTGAAACTAGTTAACAATGACTTGATATTTAAAACAATTACCTGCTGACTTCTTAACTTTAACATTCTGAAGTTAACGTGTAAATACCCAGATGGCATTTCCGAGTCAGAAGGCTCATCATGTGATAATCATGTGATCTTGTGTCATTCCTTACACCAATAAGGAAGTTAACCAGCTGATCCTGGTTTCCAGTGCTCAGTTGTAAGAAAAATGTTTTCAACCAACCAGTAATTTCGATAACACGCTACAAACAAAACTCAAATCGTTTATGTAGAGCGAAAAAACTCGAGCTTTACGAGTTTCACTTTCTAAAATTGCATCCTTTCTTAATACAACCTATTACTCAACACCCTTGTAGCCTTAATGCAGCAGGGTGGCATTTTAGAGGAAAGTGGCAATCAACCCAACATGCCTAAAAGAAGCACCCTAACAAAAGGCTGTTAAGAGTGAACCACATTACAACTCAGTCTCATAATACTACTTTATTTGAATAGAGTATTGACACGATCGTATATGTTCGCATCCCTTCCTCTCTCGTCCTTTTTGCTTTAGACAAAACAGGCTAACGCCAGAGCTAACTTTTGTAGTCGTCATCAGCTAGTCAACTAGCTTTGACTAGTCCTCGCAGTCTCATGATGAAGCGGGAAGGCTAGCTGTGACAATTGTATTCACAAAGAAATACAAACTAAAAATTAGCAAGTTGGGAACACGCCAACAATCACTGGCTGCACCAGCGAAGTCTAAATAAACTCCTGCTCGAGATTAGCTTTGCCACGATAGCCAGGATAGCGGACGGCCCTCACACTTAGCTCGGAAAGAAGTACTATGGCTGAGATCGCCGCGTTGGGACACATGCACACACACAAAAAGGATTAAGCTGCAAAAGAAAACGGCACCACTGGTTAAATAATAATTGACATATGAAATATAATCCTTTTATAATTACCGCTGAACACCATCGCCGCAGAGGCACCCATCGCTGAGAAGAACGGGGAGTACTCGGGGCCTTCGGAAGACGACATTCTTTCTCACGTTTTACGGTAAAAAAAATAAACTAAATATACAAAATTAATTATATCTGGTGTGTCAAAAAGCGCACTTCACGAAACCTGTCGAAGGCCACGGAATTGAAATGCTGAAGCGACTATACTAAGAAGGAACCTTCTTGTCGCCTAACCTAACAGTGTAAACGAAACAGTCACGACTCCTGCGATAAATACCCGGCGCAGCAGTACAAAATGGCGAAGCGGAAAATATCACCTGACTGGTCGTACGGACAAAACCTATCTCTGACAGGGTGAGAGGGGGCGCAGTAAAATAAAAAAAAAGGTTAATGATTTACTGTTCGACACAGACTGTTTACGAAAGAAAATGTACGGATTTAAAGCGATGTTTTAATGACGTAGTCTGAGCAAAAACAGCGTTTTTGTTCTTTCTTTTCACCTTTTATTTTGAAGGTCACCCCTATTGTGCTTCACTTTGGTATGCTCCGCTGCAGGCTTTCCCTTTGATATCTACATTTCTTCTTCACCCTTCTGAAGAATGAGGACGAAATGATGGGTGAAACCAATAGATATCTTATTTATTATTTTCTACGCTAGGGCCATTTAGTGGAAGGTGGTTTACAGTCAGGTGTGATATGCAGCAGTGTACCACATAACAGTGGGAGAATCCCCATTTCACTGAGATTAAGAAAGAGGAAGGGGTCATGAGAGCTCGGACCCCGAGTTAGAGATGAAGAATGTCTGCATGTGTGACTCAGAGAGAGCTTGTGCAGTCCCCATGCCTCCTCCTCCTCTTCTCCCATTTATTCCTCTTACCCTGCTCACTCTGCATTGCCTAGTCAAGTCAGCACTACATGCAGGCCCCCTCCCCCAGTGCTACTGTAATAGCCCCATGACTCGTGATGCCATTTCTCCACAAGGACCACAGGCCTCCTTCCTTTCGATCACTTTAACTGGCCAGTATCTTAGTAAATAATCAGGGGTATAAAACAAGAACAGAACATTTGAAGATGCGGATGGTGTATGTGTATGTGTGTGTGGTGATGCTGATAGCAAAACGGTCACTAATGAAATGACTTTCATTTCTGTTTTCTCTTTTTCTGGTCCTTGACTGAACACTCATTGATCCGGGGAGGGGGGTGGGGGTGAAGAGAGAGGTGTGTAGCATTTCAGCTGAGACTGGATTATAGTGTTCATACTCAGAGCCTATTTAATAGCATGTAATGTGATAGTCTACATACCTACTTCATTGATTCCTGTTTGTTTTGAGTAAATGGTAATGACTGTGTTGTAAGGAGAGCATACGCTATAATTTATTGGCTGATCTCTGGAATTACTTTTAAGGAAGGGAAAGAGGGAACTGTGAGAAGTTCTCGCAAGGGCATCATGAAAGGCACGTTTGCTACAAAGTGTCAGTGCACACTGTCATCCTTTAGCTTTCAGTGATTCTGCTCAGTTCCACACGTTATATGTCATAGATAATGTAAAATTTGCCCTTTATATAACAACACTGAGATACCCAGTGTGTAAATTTACATAAGAAACAGAAATCCTCGACATCATTTTAAACACACACACACCAGCTCCTGCAATATTCAGTCTTTGAACCAGATCAGTACTCGTTGGGACCTCCTCAGCCTGTGTTTTAACCCACCCACTCACTAAGCCAAGTGGCAGGGGTGGCGGTCAAGGAAAAGACCAGTCTCAGTGTACTGTTAAACACTTAAGCATCTTATTTCTCGAGGCTAAGAAGCATGGTTTTTCAAGGAGATGCGCCAGACCAGCATCCAAAGGAGCAGCTAAATATAGCCGTGCATGTGCGATTAGCAGAGTGTGAATCCTGAATGGAGAGCACAGCCTTGGTGAGACAGAGTCAATTCCACTTACTGTAAAAGAAGGAATTACTCCACTCCTTCGCCATTTAAGCTGCTGCATCTCTGCAGATACATTACAGCGAGGCACACACACACTGCAAATCAGTTTGCACTTTTTTTATTTATATGACTGCACTGACATTGATCGCTTGCACATTGACATGCCAAATAAAATGTCTGATAAATAACCAGGTGTATCAGTTTCCACAGCTGTGAGTTGGTAGGTATGCATGATTCAAATACAGCAGGCTCGGTTTCTCTGTTAGGTTTGATTGAAATGTGGCATGGATTTCTATGAATTGAATTCTGCAGCGCAGCTCACTACCAAGATATATTTATAACTATATCTGACTCATATCTGCTGAATATTTTCCAGCCATGCAGCGTCAGTGTCAGCTTCCACAAAAGAGACATGCACAAGACAGCCAAACGAAAATAGACGTGGTGCGTGTGTCTGAGCAATTTACTTGTCATTCCTAGTAGTTTAAAGCTGGAGCTTTACTACACATTTATGTGCAATTTGCAAGAATTTAATTTCTGCTAATTAGGGTGTCAGTTGTGGTTTTAATATCACAGTTTTCTCTGTGGGTTTGAGGTGCATTGAAGGCTTACAACGCCCCCCCCCCCCAAAAAAAAAAAAAAAACCCTCAATCCCTATGCGATATGGCTCTCAGTATACACTTGTATATCTTTGCAGTCCCTTTGGGAAAAGGCTAACTGAAAGTAACTGCTGGGAGTACAGAGCAAACACAAGACAATGTGTGGTCAGCTGACCGTAAAGGCATGTGGCACACTTCTGTGAAAATCAGAGAAAATGCAACTCTTGCTTTGCAGGAACAAACGTGACAGATTTGAAAGGATTAGAAAGCTAAATCTTCAAATGTGAACTGTGGATAATGTCAGGAGAATCAGGGTCTGGAGTTCACTTTTCCTCACCGCAGCAGATGGCTCGCTTCAAAATCATTCTCACTAGTAGAAATACTTTTACTTACACCCATTTATTCACTGTGAATTCATTAGTATTACTCTCACACTGAGTTGATTTAGGGAAATGGATGTTTAAAGCCGTTTTTGGACTGCAGTGTGTGGGTGAAAACACCTTCAGTAACAAGACAAAATAACAATGACAACACAATGACTCTGATGAAAGCTTAATGCTGTATTTTCACATTTGCAATTACTCAATTGACACTTTACTGAAGCACATTTTCAAATCCACACACTCACACAGAGGCCCCCCCAATGACACTTTAGGAACAGGACAGCGTTTCAACTTCTTATTACAATCTTTATACTGGAAAGGACGGAAATAACAGGAAAATGATGTAGAGGAGAAGGAAAAAAAATAACAACTTTATATTCATATACTGCACAAAAGGGAGACAATCATCACAGACTCAAAGAGAAAGCTGGTGCAAAATGGCAACATAAAAATTCACTAGATCTTCATAAACATTTACACCATGAATTCATTTGTCAGATCTCCCATCTATTCACGATATATCAGGAAGTGTGGGAAGTTACGACAGGTTTTCTAACATCTAGGTTCTTTTGTTCATCATATATCACAAACATGGAGACTCGACTTCACACATGCTGTTGTAAACCTCATGACCTGATAGTACTGTAAGGACTGCAGAGTTAGCTTAACAACGAGTTTGGCAGATTGAGATAAACTACAGAACAAAAAAAAGACTTAAATTTACATTCAGAAAATCAAATGGTTTTGCTCAGCAGGTTGATCCTGGACATTTCCATTATCACGTCAAAAAAATGAGTACACAAATCTATAAATACAAAAATAAACAGGAAAAAAAGAAACATTTTTTGTTCATTTGCAGAAATTTGAACAAACTGCTTTAATAAATTTTAAAAAAAAGTAATTCAGAGTTGAATTTGCAGGACGGATGTGGTTTTGTTTGCATGTCTGTTTTCCACTTAAAACACTTGACTTCTCATTTCATACGTTTAAGTGTTTGTGGATGAATACCTAAGTATGTGTTGCATGTATGTGCTCAGCATTATGAGGCCATGGTGTCCTGGAAGCCCCACACCTCTAGCAGTGAAATCTGGAAGCTCTCTGCACACAGGGGCGGGTTGTCAAAGGTGGTGCAACTGCCAGTGCGCCCGTGGTTCAGCTCAGAGTCGATATACAGAGCGTTGCCGTCGCCTCCTCCTGATCGGACAGAAGATGACAGAGTTTGCATGAGTTACCAACGATCAGCACTTCTTCCAAGCAGATTCTTTAATATTAACACTGTTTCATCGACATATAGTGTTTAGTCTTGTGAGCATGTAAAAAGCATGTACACTCACTGGCCGCTTTGTTAGATACACCTGTTCAACAGCTCGTTATCACAAACATCTGATCAGTTTGGCAGCAACTCAGTGCAAGTAGACATGTAGACATGGTCAAGATTACTTGGTAAAGTTAAAACTGAGAAATGGAATAAGGAAGAAAGGTGTTTTAAGTGACTGAATGTGGTCATTGGGTTGGTATGAAACTCAGAAACTGCTGATATACTGTGATTTTACCCCCACAACAATCTCTGGGGTTTACAGAGACTGGTCCACAAAAGAAAAAAAAAGAGCTAACGGAAGAAAACAGTAACTTAAATATGCAGAAGAGCATCTGTCAACGTTCAACACGTGCAACCTTGAAGCAAAAGGGCTACAGCAGCAGAAGACCACACCAGGTTGTTGGTGGTGTAATGGTGTGGGGGATATTTGCACACTGTCTCTTGACCATTGTTCAAACACCACGGTCTGCCTTAGCTTTGCTGCTGATGGTGTCCTTCCCACTTTATGAGCACCATCTTCTGATGGCTGTTTTCAGCAGAATAAAACACCAGGTCACAATGCTCAAATCACCTTTAACTAGTTTCTGAACATGACAGTGAGTTCACTGTACTAAACCACCTCCAGAGTCAATAGATCTCAAGCCAATAGACTTCATTTGCTCATTTGGTGAAACAGGAGACAGACAATAAAACATCAAACTTGGACCATAAAACTGTCCAGACTCATTCTTTGGTTCATTATTCTGTTTAAGTATTTGTGATTTATAATGCTTGAGATTGCAAAAAGTCTTTACTGCATGTGCAGTAAAAGCTTTCCATCAAGTGCTACCCTGTTTAAAATCAAAGGATATCAGTAAAGGTCTTTAGCATTACTGATCAGAGTTAGCATAAACCACTTTTACAAATCACAAAAACATTTACATTCCAGGTCTCTAAAAAATACAGTTTCAAAATTTATTAAAAGCTGAAAAGTGGGTTTTACACCAATAGCTCATTATTGTGGAAAGTAAAAATCACAATGATTTAGAAGTCATTAAAATGTGTTCAGAATTTGACAACTTGATGACGATTCATCATCAAATCATGTAGGGGGAGAACAGAGTGCTTAAAACAGCACCTGATTAGAATTAGGTACGCCCGATGGCACCCCCTTTAAGAAATTAGGCGCTAGTTCTTTACCAATTTTCCTAATTATGGGAGAATACAAGTTACTATTTAAAAAAAAACCCCAAAAAACCAAACCACGCTTTAAATGGGAAATGCAAATAAAAGACATACTGTCAAAGTCCACTCACCCACTATGATGGAGTCAACATTTCCAGACATGAACATAGAAGTATTCTTAGAGTTCAGGTTGAAGTGGCGGGCAGACAGAAATGGCGACAGCTCTCCAGGAGGTTTTTCTGGCTGCTGTAAGCTATTGCTGTCTGTGATCTGGTCTTCAGATGCTGCCGTTTCTTCCTGAGCCTGGGTCTTGATGGACGAAGCCAGCTCAGGATGACGGATTACTATCCACTCGTAACGCTCCATCTCCGGCTTCAGCTAACAAAAGAAACAGGAATGTCTATAATTAACAACTACACACCAGAAAACCACACATTAAATGAAGTAATAATAGAACAAAACACCCATTTTCTTAAAAATCACATAAATTAGTTAATATCCCAAAATGAATCCTGATTTTAACAAACAGAGATACATCATGGAATTTAGCATTCTTTAGGAAAAACAGGCTCCTGTGGACATTGGAATTTTCTTCACCAAGCAAATTCGATCAACAGCTGTCTTCCTCTGCTGAGTTAAGGCAGCACTGTCTAATATCTTTAACAAAACTGTTGCTTTTGGCAGACAAACTACAATTTACTGTTTCTTGAGCTCCACTGGGGGGGAAAAGGTCACACCACAAACACAGAAGATGGGGGACTCTAGAAGTTTGGAGCTTTAACATAACTTTTACTTGTTTGAGTCATGTCTGCTTTAAAAATTCTGACTCCTCTAAGCAGCCATCTGGTACTCTGAAATTTTCCCAGAGGAGACAACCAGCCTCAGGGGTCCTCAGTTTGAGATGTAATTAAGAAGTTGGAGCAGTTTTCTCAGATTTTCTTGGATTTCTAGTCATGAAATTTACCATTAAGAACTACAAACAAGAAAACTCAGCTTTTTACTGCAGAGCAGCTTCATGATGATTTAGTAGACTCTGGTGTGGCACCTTTACTGTGCCGTGACACCTGCAAAAACATGGCTCATCAGAAGCAAACCTCTCTTATGCCTCACAAGTCTACAATCAGAAGATTTCAAATGAACATCTAAACATGACACATACATTAGAAAACTAATCCAGTGGGTTGATGAAGTTGAAACAAAGTTTTATGGCCACAATGAGTAAAGAAATGGGGTAAATTCAGTCAAGCAGAGAAACAATACAAGCTCTAACATGAGCTTTATATGATATGTACTCATTTCTAATCTTGTCCATCCTGGTCACTCCCATTGAAAATCTTAACATCTCCAGCTCATCCACAGTCTTTTTGTCAGTGCAATGTGCTCAAACTATACATCACAGCATGTCTCACTAACATCTTTTAACCCTCCCTTTCATTCTTGCTGCCATCCTTCAGTCACAGATCACCTGTGATACTCGTCTCCACTCACAACATCCTGCCCGCACTCTCTTCTACACGGTCAGTTGTTTTGGATGGCTGACCCCATTTAAACTCATGTACTCATTTGAATTACTTCTCCTTCCAGGTTCTCTGTTACATCTATGTTCCTCTTAGTCACACACTTACATTCTGTCCTGCTTCTATGAATTTTCCTTGCTCTTCTCTCCAGAGCAAACCTCCACCTCTCCTACCTGCTCCCTACCATCACTAAAGATCACAGTGTCATCTGCAAAGATCAGTCCATGGAAATTCCTGCTTGGCCTCATTTGTCAGCCTGTTCATCACCATAGAAAACAAGAAGGGGCTCATTCCCTGGAGTAATACCAGGCTCACCTTGAATCCATCTGTCACACCTACAGCCCACCTCACCTCTGTCTAAGCTATCCTTGCTTACCTCTCTGCCACTTCAGACTTCTCATGCAGTAACAGTTGCTCTCTTGGCACCCCATCATATGCTTTCTCTAGATCTACAAAGACCTTCTGACGTTCTCCGTACTTCTCCATTAACACACTTGAAGCAAACATCGCATCTGTAGTGCTAACTCATCATGAATCTGTACTGCAATATACCAATCATCATTTCTTTTCCCATAGCTTCATGATATGGCTCATAATTTTTGTTCTTCTGTAGGTACTACAGCTCTGCACGTTGCCTTTGTTTTAGAAAATCTGTACTAGTACACTTCTTCATTCTTCAGGCATCTTCTCTTCTCTAGGTTTTTGAAAAAAAAATCTCTCTCTCCCTAACACCTGAAAATCTAGAATAGGCTCCTTGAAGAGGTGCAAACAGAACTGAACTGAATGTAATCTTTATTTTGAACAGGTTAAAAAAATACAACCACATAGAAATAAAAAAAAAAAGAGACAAACAAAGCAGAAGTGTTCCTCTTTACAATCTCTCTACCTAAAAACTGTGGACAGAGCTCAAAACAGAAGTGGATACAAGTCCCAAAATTACAGAACTAGAAGCCTTATGAAGGAAGAATGGAGGATCACCTTCACAGCTTTTAGCAAAGCATTAGAAAGCTGTGAGACTTGTCAAAGGGGGCATTACTGATCATGTAAGAAAAGGACCTCAAACATCAGTTTGAGGTCCTTTTCGTGAACTTGAAAATGTAAACGATAGAAAAAAGAAAAGAAAATCCCATAAGAGAAGGTAAGACCTTTAAGTTTACGTCTTCTGGAGACTGATAACTTTTTTTTTGTAGGGTTATTCTAATGTTTGCATGGCATACATTATCTTGTATGCTAATAATTTTCTCCTGGTCTTGTTCAAACCTCTACTGCCCATCCAATAGACATTGGTCCTGGAGTCTGTCTCTCGTGTGTGTCAGGTGTGGTATCAGGTACGAGCCTGCTACGATACTGAGGGCTTCGGGTTACAGGAGTTTCCGATATGTGTGTGCTTAAGTATTGGTGTTTGAGATGACTGTGTTTTCTGGTGTCTAGGCTCAGACAGCACACAGCTGAGCTTTACACAGTTAGCAAAGTAAATAATTCATAGAGAAGGGAACAGACAGCCAGTCTTTTTTTCTATTTCTAGGCAATGGTGCACTGCTGCCATCAGAATAGCAAGAAGAGTGGCTGTTTTTTTTTTGCACTGGACAGCATGTCAATGACAAGGGAACTGTGCCCTAGTATGAAAACTTCTCCAAATGATACACCAACTGGGGCCATTGATATTGACAACAGTAACATTTGAAAAAAGATAGATGGTACCCCCTGCTGGTCATACAATAGCACTACAAAAAAAATTCCAACCATCTCTAAAAATGACTCAAATGATGTCTTTAAGAAGAAAAAAAAAGAAAAAAAAAGAAGAGAAAAAAAAAGGGATTTTGCTACTAGATAACTGAAAATAATCTTACCCTGAAGACAAAACATTCCCCTGTGCCGAAGAAGCTCAACTTGTTGCCTCCTCTCTTCCTTTCCTCCCAATCAGTGGACAGAAACGCTCCGCATACCTGTTGGAAAAAAATTAAGTAAAAAAATTGCATGAGTGAGATAATCTGTGGATTTATTCACCTTCAGCGGTTGTGACAAAAGTCAAGCAAGTGGAAGGACTCTGACTGTGGTGTCTGTAAGATGCCAACACTAATGCCAGGATAATCCAATCATATGACACATGGACCAGGACAAAAATATAACCCGAGTCTACTTTGAAAAACAGAAACCTAATCTTAGCCTCTTTAACTCCTTAAATAAAGAGCAATGACTGAGTTAATGCTACGAGTAGGTCACACCTATTGCATGTGCTAAGAAGGACTTTACTTGTCAAACATGACATTTTTACCTTTGATGCTTCCTGTATCAGACAAAGATAGAAACTAATGATAGTTATATATTAGGGTGGGTCAGAGGGCAAGAATGACTTGGGGTCGGCAAAAGCCCTTAAACTAAGAAACCAAAACAGAAACATAGAAAGAAAAAGTGCAGAAATATGTTAAGACATTTGTGCAAATGTTTTTACTTGTGCATTAACCTCAAACTTTAATGCAATCTCAGTACAGACCTGCATTGACAAAAATGTACAAAGTATGAGTAATTCATGTATTTACGAAAGCATGGGTATGCCTCCTTGCCACTCTGTCCAATCTTTTTTGACCCCCTCCCCCAGAAGTTGCTTAATTTTTCCTTTTCACACATCACAGACTGGATCGAGATCGCCCAAAGGTTGGTTCTGAATATGAGGTCGCATTTTACTCGTATTTTATCTTAGCTCGTTGATCATAATAAAATATCTGATGGCACATTCCACTGTTTTCCTTCAGAAAAAATATTAACAATATTTATGTCAGTAGAAAGAAATGCTACTTACATCGCCATCTGTGGTCCTGATGAGGAGCAGAGTGGGTTCGTGGCCCTCACAATGTGAGTAGAATCTGTAAAAAAGGAAAAATATTTAATTCACTACAACAGTCTTATTAAACACCTAATACTGAAACTAACACATATCCAGTGGATCGTAATGCAGCAACAGTCACACACTTTTGTATTTTACTTTAAGCAAAGTGAGGCGCTGGTAACAAAAACCCCAAAGCTTCTTACTTTATTAAAACAAAAAGCTGTTGCTTTAAGCCATGAAAAAAATTGATTTGACTCCATTAAAAGAAAAATGTAACCTTAAATTCAGACTTACCCAAACTTTTAGTTATTAATTTCATTCAAAGTTATAAAATGTAAATTATGAGCAGCAGCTAACACTTAATTAAATTGTAAAATGCACCTATTCAGGCTGCAACCGTGGGTGGAGGTTGTGAAGAGAAGCTGTGGTTGGCACAGGGCAAAGCGCTCTGGGATCCATGACCAGATGTCATGCATCTCCTTGGCACTGACTATCTCCGAGGAAAATGTGTCAGGGTTAAGTGCCAGCTGCACGTTCCGCCTGCAGATGCCAAAGGAATTTAGACACAGGAAAGAGAGAGGTTCAGAAAAAGCATCCCATACAGTGAAGAGATGTGTATAAAATATACCCCCCCCAAAAAAAAAAAAAACAACAACAAAAAAACAACTTGGTCACAGGTTATTTAAAACAGGTATCAGAAATAAGTGTAACCATGTAAGAGCACCCACCTAGAGCTGTAAAAGAACCAATGTGGCAAACACAGGAGTGGTGTGCAGATGAGACAGAACATGGTGCATGGAAAAATCGTGGCACAAACCAAGCAGAAAAGAAAAAAGAACAGACGGTGAGAAAAGGATGCAAAGGAACTCAAACTGTTTCCTACAGCATGCCAGAATATAAAGCTTAAAAGACAGAGGGCATTGCTACCAACAATAAATAAATAAATAAATAAATAAATAAATAAAAAAAATGCTAAAACAGTTAAGACTGTAAACATATCTTCTCCACACTTGTGCCAAATTATATTTCAAATGGTTTATATTGGTCGTCTGCATGCCATGCATACCAGGGTGAAGTCCACAAACCGTGAAGGAAGTTTAGTCATGTTCAAGTATTTTCATTCTAATGGCAGTAGATTTCCAGACCAAAGGTAATGGTAAATTATGAAACTTTAGAGTTCACATATTGCTAGATTAACAAAGTGGACTGATGAATTTTATTAAAAGAGCTCAACTCCTAGTATGGGACTGTGAGAAGCCATTTGGTTAAGTTTAATATAAAAATTATAAAACATGTGGTAACAATAACTTAAAAAAAGCAGAGTAATGACAAACACAGCGTGTAGCAAAGGGTCCGCACAGGAAATAGCCCAGTTTTGAAGTTTAGAAAGTACATTTACCCACTTAAAAAACAAAAAATAAAACATTTACTTCTTTTTTTTTTTAACTTTACCGCTTCTGCTTTACAGTGATTCCTTTTTGCTGCAGGGACTTCTCATTTGTGAGCTGCAGCAGGGTGATCTCCTTGCGGCTGAACAGGCGGATGGAGAAGGCCTTCTCTAGCAGCTTGTCAGGTGTAACGGTGGAAGCAATGCCCTTAACAAATGCCTGAATATCTGCCTTGATTTTGTTTGAATCCTCCTGCTGCTGGTTGCCCTGCCCCCCCTCTGCTCCCATTTTATGCTTGCGATAGAACTTGAGCAAGGCTACTGCCACGCGGTAAAGAACCTTATAGCCCTCTACTAGGTAGACATCTAGGACCCTAACCACATGGCTAAAAGGCAGATCACCGAGGACCCAGCGCTGCCAGTCTGAGTAGACATCCATCACATCCTGAGCCGTGGCAACGATCAGTTTGTGAGCAGCTGTGCAGTACTTATTGGCTAGGTCACCAAAGGTCATGCAGCTAGACTCATAAGCCAGGAAGGTCTGGTCTATAAGTCGCTTCCCTGGCTCGTTGCATGCCAGTATGCGGCTGACATGCTCAAAACACTGAGCTTCGTCTACACTGAAGTGCAAGAGCAATGAAGTAACTGCAGGAAGAGCTGGGCAATGAGAGATATCTGGAAACTGTCCAGCGAGGCAGTTGATGATCTGATGGGCTGAGGCCACTGCCTCCGGCTTCAGACAGTACCGTGGTATGGGATTTCCATCCACAAACTCTGGTAGTGGGACGTTGGTGGAGGTTTTTTTTGCGGCTGCATTTCCCATAATGTCATGATACACTGCTGCATCTGGGGTCACTGTACGGCAAGGAATGGCTTTGATGAGTTGCTGGTAGACTTGTGCCCGCAGCTTGTGGTTCTTGGCCCAATAACCTTGTCGAGCCATCTGTTTGAACTCTTTCAGATCTTTAGTGTCCACCTTGGTGGGCCCGCTGCTCTTGGCCAAATCCCCCATCTGGTTCCAGTCCACAAAACTGCCATAGTCTTCTTCAGCCATTGTGCTGTAAACTTGCTGGACTGCTTGTGCAGGAAGAGAGGAGGTATCTGCCGAGGTCTTACTAACCTTCTAGCCTCCACACAGCAGATATTTTGTCTTTCTTATCTGCCCATTATGGCCACTGGAAAAAAACAAGGGTGACAAGACAGATGTATCAAAAAAAGCTTATAATTATGCACATAAATTATTAGTAACTGTCAGTAGCATCATAGAATTATTAAGTTCCCACTGATGTAAATTTCATATTTATCACTTGAAAGATTTGTTCGAAAATGGCTTCCACCTTCTGAGCCCTTAGTGAACTTAACTAATTAGTCCTGATCTACACTACAACATATTACCAGAAGTATTCACTCACCCATCGCCATCACTGAATTTAGGTGTTCCAATCACGTCCATGGCCACAGGTGTATAGATATAGAGTACCTAGGCATTCAGACTGTTTCTACAAACATTTGTGAAAAAAATGGGTCGCTCTCAGGAGCTCTGAATTCCAGCGTGGCATCATGATAGGATGCCAGCTGTGCAACATGTCCAGTCGTGAAATTGCTTTGCTACTAAATATTCCAAAGTCAACTGCTAGTGGTATTATAACAAAGTGGAAGTGACTGGGAATGACAGATACTTAGCCACAAAGTGGTAAGAAACATGAAATCAGAGCTGGCTCAGCAGATGTTGAGGCACATAGTACCCAGAGGTTGATTACTTTCTGCAGAGTCAGTAGCTATAGACTTTCAAACTTCATGTGACCTTCAGATTAGCTCAAGAACAGTGGGTAGAGAGCTTCATTGAATGAGTTTCTATGGCCAAGCAGCTGCACCCAAACCTAACATCATTAAGCACAATTCAAAGCGTCAGGTGCAGTGCTGTAAAGCATGCTACCATTGAACTTTAGAGCAGTGGAGACGTGTTCTCACAAGTGATGAATCACACTTCTCCATCTGGCAAACCGATGGATGGGTCTGGGTTTGGTAGTTGCCAGGGGAACAGTAGTTGTGTATTGTGCCAAGCGTAAAATTTGTGGAGGGGGGATTATGTGTCAAGGTTCTTTTTCAGGAGTTAGGTTCAGCCCCTTAGTTCCAGTAAAAAGTAACTCTTAATGCTTCAGTATATCAAGACATTTTGGGAACAGTTTGGGGATTATCCCTTACTGTTCCAACATGACTCCGCACCAGTGCACAAAGGAAGGTCCATAAAGACATGGATATCTGGGTCTGTGTGTGGAAGAACTTGACTGGCCTGTGCAGAGTCCTGACATCAACCTGATACAACACCTTTGGGATAAATTAGGCTACGTTCACACTGCAGGCGAAAGCGCATCAAACCAAACTTATTTGACGCTATGCGACCCATATCCAATCATGGTATGACAGTGTGAACAGCACACCGATATTTTCAAATCCGATCTGGGTCACTTTCGTATGTGGTACTGAATCCGATACATATCCGATGTTTTAGAAAGCGACTGCTGTTTGAATGGTCATGTCGCATTAAATCCGTCTTTTACGTCACTGACACAAGACAGACGCCATTATCAGCGCCAGAGAAGCGCCCGATAAGACATCGCGAACGCTTCCTGGCCATCCAGTGTAGATGTCAGTGAAACTGTTGGGAAGACAACGTTGGAGAAACGTGAACATTTTATTTGTACTGTATAATCTGCAGATTCTGACAGAAATCTGCAACTATCCTTTGAAGCACCGCGCCGCTCTAAAACAGCAATAAGGATAATTATTAGGCCATATGTAAATAACAAAATAACTTTATAACTTATAGCAAAATTGGGAAATGTAGAGTACGAAACAAGTCTTTATATTAACAGCCATCAGTCAAACAATACTGTTTGGGTCTAAACAGAGCACGTTGTGTGTGACGTCTTCTTTTGCGCATGCGGGCCGCATTGAGGGTTCACACTAGAGCGCGTTTGCTGTCACATTTTATTTGTAGTGTGAACAAGCAGACAAAAATATCGGATTTGATCAAAAAAATTGGAGTTGAGCATTAAGACCTGCAGTGTGAACGTAACCTTAGGGTCTTTTGGGATGTCACTCAAGTTTATATGACAAACGAGTGAATACTTTTGGCAATTTAGTGTATATGAGCTAGCTGAGGATAAGCATACAATTAGGAAGAAATATGCATATCTGAAAGTGGAAAATTAGACTTTATAGCATGGTACTGTATAAAATACAAAAAAAAACAGAGTGCTATAAAAAGAAAAACTAATAAATGTAAAACAAATGTAGCATTGGTATTTACACCAGAATACATAAAAAAAAAAAATACATAAAATATGTAGCAATGTTAAAGTAGAAAAATGCACAAAAATAAAGACTCAGAAAGTTCTGTTTCCATAAGAAGCGATTTGAGAGATGGAATGCAAAATGACCACAGTAAATCTGTAATGAAGACACACTACTGATCAATTTCCCTAATCATGTTCTGACAAATACAAAAATGCATGTGCATCATACACCTCATACACCTGTGAAAGCTTGAAATGACTTGTGTGCAAACATCTTTGGCTGATTTAATTGGCTACTAGAAAAAACAAACAAACCTGTAATTGTTAAAGGCCACAAGCTGTTAACTAACTGTTTCACATCCCACATGATACAGACAGATGGCACGTCTACAAATCAGTTGCGCCCTGAAACATACGGAGAATAGCTGAAGCACAATCTTTTTGGGTGCTTTTATTTCCCCTTTCTCAAGACGTCACATGGAGATGGCAGTCCAAAGATCGCTTGCAATACACTAAAAGAGACAGTCATTAAAAATCTGTTTATATAACTGTCACATAGAGGAGGATATCAGCATATCCTTGCATGAGAAGCTGGGAGCACTCGCAATATAACTGTCCTACTTATGTTAAATAAGGGCATGTTTCACCTAAATGCTGCCATTATACACGTGACACTGGGTGCAACTGATCAAAGTCAGACTCGATAATATAGTGGCTAAGATTAGGTCTAAGAATAGTTTGGCAGTCTGTAGCACAGTCGCACACTGTTTTATAGTGCGGTCACACCTGTAGTCTGGGCTTCATCGGAAAAACTGTGCTCTATCACACGGGTCTTGTTGTTTGCTTGAATTAAAAATAGAAATTTCTGTCCGCAGTAAACACAGGAATGTTCTGAGAAAAAAGGTTTAGAATTTCATGAACCACATACTGGAATGAGCAGTTTTGGTCTTGTTTTGCAGGATGAATATTTCACTGGGTGACTAAAGAACAGAATAAATCTGTATTTAAAAATAAAGAAAGAAGGCCAAGATGAAAAGAGGGCAGCTTCTATTACAGGAGAATTACACCGTAAAATCCACAAGGAATTAATGACAACAAAAGGTACGAGCTGAAGTTTTTACCATTGCTCTGAAAAGTTAGGAAAACTCACTCGAGGCGCAATCACAATGAATGACTGAAGAACCCCCAAAACAAGAAGTGAAACAGTCTTATTCGTCCCACAGAATTGCCAAACTTTTGCTTTACGGCCATTTCCTTTTTTTGTGGTTTTGTTTTGTTTGTGACCTGTAAAATCTAAACGCAATCCTGTTTAAAATAATTACACAAATGCTGCTCAATAAAGATGTCAGACTGATACAGCCTAGCCATTATTTTGACCAATTACCAGTTCCAAAATCTCAGGGCTCAAATGGTTGGATTTATGCTAACCAAACTGCATTTTAATTGCAAACCAAAGCAAAGATTTTTAACCTTTCATCAAGATAACAGAATTTTGCTATAGGCATTTAAAAAACAAAAAAGAAAGAATATTGTAATAGTTTAAGAATCTTGGATTTAATCACTATACACTTTACATTCACAGATAATAGATGTAGATGAGAATGACACTGGGATGGCAGCTGTACTACAATGTGTCTGAAAATTTACAAAAAAAAAAAAAGGACACCCCCCCCCCTCATTTCCGTACTTCTTTTGATGCTGCATGTCCATTTGAAAAAAACAAAACCTGCCTCAGATATTAATGTAAAACGTACCGAGGGGAGGAGGAGGAAGCTTCTTGCTAGCCTTAACGGAGAGCGTACTGTACTGTTAGCTAGCTGTACTATAAAACCAATTACTGCTTTTAGTTTCATCCTGGACGCTCAGTAAAAGCACACAAAAGGCTAAGGTAAGGCTGCAGGTACAATTGTGTCATCACATACTGAGGTGACAGCTCCAAATTAGCTGCATTTTCAATCCTATAAACGATTAACGTCAGCTAACCAGCTGAGGCAAAATAAGCTAGCACGAAACCAGCGGCCACGGGTCACAGGGTATTTAACATTACCGCCGGAGTAAATCTGATATACCCTTTTCCATTCACACTTGCCAAGTTAGCACTGTTAGCCTTAGCTAGCCGCATCTGTCAGTGCAATTCAGGAGCAACCGGAACCTTAACTAGCCGCACAAAACCTACTCGCTAAACACATAACCTCCACAACAAGCGTGCAGATACGGACAAACGCTAAAACATTTGAGCAAGCTCTTGGCTAACGTTGCTTCATTAGCCAGCATGGACGTTGTCAACCACAAATTAATTTGGTCCAAAGGCTGTGTTGGAGTTTGTTTATAACAAGATGTTTCCGCTTATTTTTTTTAGAAAAGCGTGTCACATCCACAAAGCTAGAAACACGCCAAAGTATTACCTTTACTCCACAACAAGGAAGACGATATATAAATAGCTGTCAGAAGAAAATTAAATGAATATCCCTACCTGAGTCTGAGATGTCTTGAGACGGGAGACAGCGTTCATATTAAGTACCCTCGAGCATGCGCACTGCCTCCAATCCCGGACGCAGCGTTTTTGAGCGTGCAGCTGCTGAAGCTGCAGACAGGGGCTCAGATGGAGCGGTTAAATATAAACTGTTCTCAGTTACTTATCTGTACACTCACTAGGTTATTAGATTATTTTTGTGAAAAAAAACGTTAATACAAACATAAATCTAGAATACAAACTATATAATATTAGTAGCAGACATGCCAAATTTGAGGTTTATGACACAGGCATGCCAGTATCAAACATTTATGTAACACAAAAAGCTATGAAATTCCATGAACTCTGGTGAGTGCACCAAAGAGTAACTCAAATATTTATCCATGGCTTAGTTTCTGAAGAAAAGTACTGTTGCGTGGTAGATCCCATTATCTGCTATGTCCTGTTTACTTCCAGACCTTCTGTGTCAAATATGTGATGGCACTGGAACAGGACAGGAAGTACCCTGACAAGCACAACAAGCCCTGCCTTTGTCCAGGACTCAAAGCAACCGTCAAAATACAACCGCCCAACACATGACAGTTATTACTGATGATTAAATTGTGGGGCCATCACAGAGCGACTCTGGGTAAAATGTTATTTGGCTCTGTCTCTCTTCCTCTCACGCACTGCCTATGTCTTTTTATACCGTCATTTTGTACTTCAGTAATAAAGAAAAAGGGGCAAATACTACTACTAGTAATAAACAAACATATCAGCATTTGTGTTTTTCCCTATATAATATAAGTAAAAAGCCACCACAAAACTGATTACGTTGCACAGCACACAGAAATGACAAAAGAAGAGAGCAGCTATGTCACATTGAGGCAGATCTAATCTGTCATCCATGTACATGGTTCTCTGGATTATGAGAGAAACCAGTAAGCCTTAAGGTCATAACTCATCAAGTCTTTTCTATTTCACACTTTGCACCACCCAAGACGCCATTTACCTCCCACTCCACCCAGAATGGATGTATTATCATGCACACAAATATCAGCACACTCTCTCACATGAAGCATATGTGCAGGCGTGTGTTGGGGCTAGGGCACCGTTAAAGCATAGATAGGATCAATGCAACTTAATACATTTGCTCCAGTACTTTAAGTACTTTAGTAAATCCGTATTAGAACACAGGGATGCACATGAACCTCACAAAAATGAAAACAACAGTTTAATAATAATAATGGATTGCATTTATATAGCGCTTTTCGGGGCCCTCAAAGCGCTTCACAATTCATTCATTCACTCTCACACACTGGTGGAGGCAAGCTACAGTTGTAGCCACAGCTGCCCTGGGGCAGACTGACAGAAGCGAGGCTGCCATATCGTGCCATCGGCCCATCTGGCCATCACCAGTAGGCGGTAGGTGTCTTGCCCAAGGACACAACGACCGAGACTGTCCGAGCCGGGGCTCGAACTGGCAACCTTCCAGTTATAAGACAAACTGCCAACTCTTGAGCCACGATTGCCCCGTTTACACAGTCTACACTGGGTTAAATCATCCCTGACTGATTTAGGGCTTCAGTTTGTGGATACCACTCTGAATGTAAGGGGTTCTTTAGCAAGGATGGTGGGTCAATACTTTTGAACTACATTCTCGTCATAGGGCACAAATACCCAAGAAGACCCATTCTCTTGCAAAACATACTATGGTACTTACCTTTTAGAGGTCAACCAAGCCACCTAAGCTATATCAGTATACCATGACCATCCTAATGCTGGCCACTCTGCGTGTATTTCTGGTCGTCTGTTTCTCTCTGTCAGGAGGCAATGGACCCTCTGAGCGAGTCGTGCTGCAGCACCGGACCTTCCATTGGTCTGACAGGCTTTGGACAAGTCACCCTTTGAAGCCAAATCAGGAATGTCCCTGAGAGAGAACTCAATCAGTCAGTGAATACTGTTTTCTTTCAGCAGTTAGTACAGCCAAGAGACCTCCACGCAGTCTCTGTCAGCTGTACATGTTTGCATTGGAAGCCACGTGGCTCTGGAGTCACACTGTGGCCAACATTGTTTCACCCAGACATATTACTGAGGACACAGAACTTCAGGTATACTACCCTGTATACTTATGATCTGAGCAGGAAGAGAGGGCCAGTTTGACTTGTCCTTTCATTCTGGCTTAACATGAAATTTCCCACTTGTCGGACTAATAAAGGTATCTTATCTTATCTTATCTAACTGAGCTTCAAGTTCTTAGAAAAGCTCTTTGTGTGTTATAATGGGAAGAATAAAGGAAAAGCTCTGTTTAAACAGCAGGACTGTTGCCACAATAAAGCAGGTATATGAAGTGGCAGGTGTGTCTATGCCCTCATATTTTATTTTTCATTCTACCAGAGGTGTGGCCACATCATAGACACCGATATGTCTCTTTGGGGGAAACTGTACTGCGACATCCTAGTTGTACCAAAATGCATCGTAATGCGTCCTCTGGGACCACGTTAGCATGATCCACTTTGTTTACTGCCACTGGCACTCGAGAAAGAATGAAGCAGAGTTAGGAACAGGTTCAGAAGGCAACTATGCTTCTGTGAATTTCCTGATGACTGCCAGTCATGGTGGTCACTCGGAGCGTCTCAATGGAAGAACTTTCTCAGAAGCCGGATGCAGTGTATTTACAGCATACATGTACTCGTAGCCTACATGCTCACAAAAACAGTTTGTGTTCTTAAATTACTCCTAAAGGAACCAGCTTAGAATGTTTGCTGCCCTGAATCATGTTAACTTACACGTGACACACGTTAGAGCTTTTTCTGCCAAATAGGACAAAGAAAATATAGGTCCCTAAAAAAATGCTCTGCTATAACGTTTAAGCCCAAGTTAACACTGGAGTGCTTTAGAAAGACCTTTTTCATTTTCACTTTCTCACTTTCCACTGCAGGACCTGGACTATAAGGCCATCTCAGAAGTAATTCATAATCAGATTTGGTGAAACATACTTTTACATACACCAAAATCTGCGCCTCAAACGCATGAAATTCTATCTAACCCTGACATAGTTCCAACATAACATGTCAAACTTACAATCTTTTCCCTGCGTTGTTACTTACACACTTTCGAGTGGGCATTTTCTTTGTTCTATCACCATCATTATGATTTTCACTGTCATTAAGTTCCTTCCGTCTTGTGTCTGTAATATTTCATTTAGCACCAAAGCTTTGCACCCACTGAGCTACCTAAATAAGTTCCCAGCTTGTGTATTAATTCACTACTAGCACTTAATGTGAGCCTGAAAGAAAGTGACACCCAGTAGCGTGGGCTCCATTGTACCTCTGAAAGGCCGAAGCAGCACTCTGGGTATTGTCTTCTTTAAAGGGGAGTCTGGTTCCCTTGACTACTGCAGGATGCCTACCCATAGGCCCTGGGAGAGAGAGAAAAGGCAGGGCCAGAGACGGAGGGAAAAGAGAGCGGAAAGAAGAAAAAAAAGGAGGCAAGCCACGTCCCGTCCTTAACTTTATTTGCTTTTTCAAGTTTGTGTTTTCAAAGCAGGCCAGATGGCTGCCACTGGGTTGGGTTGAAGACCTACAGAGGTGAGGATGTTTCTGAATGTGTGGTTGTCTGTGTGCTGACTGGTTTTGTGAGGCAAACTGCTGAGACATCTCTGTGTATGACTCACACTGACCTACAACAGGCTGGTGACAGGCATTTTTTGTTTTTAGCATCTCTATCAGTCTAATGAACATAACAGAAATGCCGAAAGACCACTGGCCAAACAAGCTGGCAGTCTTTCCTGCAGGCAGCAGCATTACTCTGACATCTACTTATGCCTGTAAAATTTGTTGATGGAGTTTAGCTGGAAAGTGTGCCCATTAATTTGCAATTTTAAAAAGAAAAAGTACAATGGTTTTCTGTCACTTTCATCCAAATTAGATAATAAGAAATGTAACCGTACCACTTTTGCAGTGTAGTGCATGTTTAATTTATTGGAATTTCTAATGTTATTACTTCGACAGTGACATCCTACTCCCTGTAAACCGAGGGCCATGCGCGTCACACTGCGGCCTCGTAGGTAAGCCCCAGTCTCGTTATAGCTCGCAGTAGAAAGTAGAAAAACAGGTCACATATTGCTTTTCTTCCTTTGGCTGCCTGAAATTGTCATTTTCATTTTGACAGCTAATTGTTTAGCTGGCTTTAGTGCATAACTGGATCTCCCCAGCATGTGATATCACCAGCAGTAGGCCAACCATTACTCAGTAACTTGTTTTAACATGATTTCTCCTGTGAGGCTTTTGAGCTGTGCAGCTCAAAGTTTGTGATGAGTGCACTGACAATTTTGATGAAATGCAACTGAGTGGAACATAATTTGATCTGGATCTGAATCTGGAGCTTTATAGGCACTAGGAGAGCCCTCAAAGTTATTGTGTGGGCACTTGAGCCTGGCTATGCAGTATGTTTTCGGGTTAGGGTGAATACTTTTACTGGCCTGATGAAAGTGAGAGAGAGTGATGGCTCTCTAAGCCCCAATTAAATCTTCAAATACTTGTTTTTACACGCCAGAGTCCCCTCACTTGAAGTCATGGAACAATTTAGCTCTCCACATTCACTAAATGAATTTAGTGAAAGGCAAAGTCCGCCTGTGTGCGTTTTTTTTAATCGCATCAAGGTTACTACTAAAACCAAATTTATAAAGTTTAAAGTACATTTAACTGGATGGGCATGGTGAAAACTAATTTTAAAAAGTGACGTTTTATGTCCTGCCCGATACATGGCCAATAAATAATAAAAATAAACAATCAAGGGAAATAATAACAACAAGATGGTGTTGATTTTACTGCAGCAAATGGTGTCTTGTCAGACAGGTTCTCTTTGGGGGCATTTTTAGAGATTAAAGGCAAAACTACACCCTCAACCATTTGAAAAGACGTGAATTATGATTTGATAACAAAATACACCTATATATAAAATTAATATTTTAGAGGTAGTTCAATACTATGCAAAAGTATTTAACTACCTCTCACTTCTTTATATATTGCTTTCAAGGAGCCAGACTTTACCATCAGATTTGATCCACCATCTGGTAAAAGTCTAATTATCAACAGCTTAATTTTTCAACAATATAGTAAAAGTATATCTAGATAGAAAATCACAACGAAACTCTATCAGTCGTGAACTGGCCTACCAAAGCCCAGAGTGGGCTCATCTCAAGACAGAACAGAACAACAGGCGCCAGCATCCAAAAAGAAAAAGCCTGGAAAACGATGAATGAAAACTACTTAATAAAATTACATGAAAGATGCCTAAAAGAGTTCAAACTGTGTGGTCATACCAAATGACCATGCATTTGCCTGATATACTGTATTTCCATGTAAACTGCATCACCTATGTCCCATTATCCAAGCAATGTATAAAAATGAAGGATAGCTTCTGACTTTAACGCTGTATTGTATTCGATTACATTCTTTGAAAGTTTAAAAACGCAGGCTATGGGGTAGCTGAAATATGTAGCTTAAAGTTAGCTTAAACTGTCTGCCAAAGGTAGACTTATCATCAAGCAACAACAACTGCTAACAAAAGTAACAGGTACGTAGGCTTAAACTAAAAGAAACGGGATATTAAAGTAATAAAAACAGCTTAAATAATTATCTAAAACGAGTAGCTAATAGGTAAAGCTAGCAATAACGTGAAAATGGTATTAGCATATAGTTTAAAGCTAAAACTAGTGGAAGAGTTAGAGTCAAAGTAAACCCACTCTCAGGTAGGACAAAGTCTACAATGGCTTCTACAGTGTGTCAACATAAAACACAACACTGAATAACATCCAGTTTCAAGTAAGGATACATGCTGCTATAGGTTACCTGAGTCTATTTTGCTGGGCTGTGGAGGTACATTACTAGTGATGGGTCGTTCGCGAACGAAATGGCTCTTAGAGCCGGGTCTTTGACGTGAACGACGCGAGCTGGCTCCTTATCGCGAGTCGTCACGTGTTTTTTTTTTGTTTCTCGCACTCTCTCTCTCTCGCACTTTTTTTTCCGCTTCACTCCGCACGCGAGCCTTGTGCTTTACGCTGGGCAGAGGGGGGAGGGGCGGTAGTTACACTCAGTAGCACAGGAACAGAGAGAGAGAAAGAAAGCCAGGGACAACCAGTGTTGCCAACTTAGCGACTTTGTCGCTATATTTAGCGAGTTTTCAGACCCCCTTAGCGACTTTCTTTCTAAAAAGCGACTAGCGACAAATCTGGCGACTTTTTCTGGTGTTATTGGAGACTTATTTATGACGACTTTTTGACGTGAAAGCGTGTATCGCTCTTACTCTCAACAACCAGCGGGTGCTGCCGT